ACTGGGATATATTGGGACATACTGGGATATATTGGGATATATTGGGATGTATTGGGGTGTATTGGGGTACACCGGAATTGGGGGGGGTCAGGGAGGGGCTGTGAGGGGGCCCGAACCGGTTGAAACCGGTTTATCCGGCAGGAAACGGGGCTATTCCCGCTCCTTGCTGGGTCATTCCCGTTATTCCCGGGTTCATTCCCGGCTATTCCTGGGTTTATGCCCAGGTTTATTCCCATTTACTCTGGATTATTCCCGGTTATTCCCAGGCTCATTCCCAGTTATTGTGGGTTCATTCCGGGTTCATTCCCGCTATCCCGGCTTCATTCCCGGTTATTCCTGGGTTTATTCTCAGGTTTATTCCCGGTTATCCCGGCTTCATTCCCGGTTATCCCGGCTCATTCCCGCAGGTTCCATTACGCCGCCCGCATCTGGGACGGGGTGAAGAAGTCGTCGGCCTTGGCCGAGTACAGCCGGCTGCTGGGCTGACCCGCGGCCCCAAAATGGCCCCAAACGGCCCCAAAATGGCCCCCAAATGCCCCAAAACGGCCCCAAAATGCCCTGAAACGGCCAAAAACGGCCCCAAAATGGCCCAAACGGCCCCAAAATGCCCCGAAACGGCCAAAAATGGCCCCAAAATGGCCCCAAAATGCCCCAAAACGGCCCCAAATGTCCCCAAAATGCCCCGAAACGGCCCAAAACGGCCCCAAAATGCCCCAAAACGGCCAAAAATGGCCAAAAATGGCACCCAAAATGCCCTGTAATCGTCCCAAAATGCCCTGAAATGGTCCCAAAATGGCCCCAAAAGGCCCCAAAAAGGCCAGAAATGGCCCCAGAACGGCCAAAAATGGCCAAGAACGACTGCAAAATGGCCCGAAACGGCCCCAAAATGGCCCGAAATGGCCCCAAAATGGCCTGAAATGGCCCCAAAATGGCCTGAAATGGTCTCCAAGTGGCCCCAAACGGCCCCCAAAACCCCAGAATTGACCCCAATCCCCCCAAATGGTCCCAAAATGCCCCCAAATGGCCTGAAATGCCCAGAATTGGCCCCAAATACCCCCAAAAC